CACACACTTTATAGACCAGCTAAGAGCATGCAGGAAAGTGTTTCTTCAGAAGCAAGACCTAGCTTGATATTGAGCCATAGATAGACCTCTCGGCTTAGGAGCCAGTTTAACTCTGTTCTCTTGCTGGTTCATTCAGCAGTTCCTTGCATCACCTTGGGGAAGTCACTGGTAATCTGTGACTTGGGGTTGACCTTCCTCCTGCCAACTGGGGCAGTATTGTCACTTAAGACATTATGGCAAAGCAGTTCAACAGCTGTAAATAAAATGTGCTATTTAAATGCATGCTACTATTTTATTATCCACAAAAGCTACTTTCAAGCTGGTTTTGTCCTTTCTGACGTGGACCCTTTTAACTTGCACCGTAACGCTGCATCAGCCCCGAACACCAGATCCCAGTGAACAGTCACCTGAAGCAAGTGCTGTGTGTATGGCTGGATGAGCTGCAGGAAAGAAGCTGCCCTACCTCCTTACTCCCCTTTCCTACCGCAAGCCAATCGTATTCTGGAAGTGAGCATTGGGATGCTGTGCTTTTCATCAGCATCCTTCTGGGAAAAGTCTAGGACAAAAAAAGGAAGGAGGGGAAAATCATAATACTTCATACTGTAGCTCCTTTATTTTTCTTCCCTTAGTCCTGACCTTGTCAGCTTCAAACTAGCTCCTGCTGTGCAGCTCCCTTCCTACCACACTCTTACAGCAACGCCCGTGCCTCAGAAACTCATCCTGCTTGTGCTCAGGTCACTTGTTCTTCATTTTAGACCAGACTGAATAGAACTTTGAAGCCAATGAAAATTCAGCTATGTTTAACTCAAAGTTCAAGGTCACAAAAATATCCAATTTAATGCACTTCCAGGAAGGGTTTTCTCAAATTCTTGGTTCCCTCTGTCCCAACAGATCCCAGTTCCCAATTATACTGTCATTTCTATTTTGCTCTAAAACAATACAGAGATGCCTACATTCACAATTACTCCTCACTGCTCCCTACCACACAAGTTTTTCTGAGCAGAAGCTTGTCAAAATATGTTTCGGTTTTCTACTCACTGATACTTGAAAAGCAAATCCTCATCAGGCCTGTGAGTCTAAGTGGAGTCTTGGAGTTACCACAGGAAAAAAATACAACCCACAAATTTTTGTTTCACTGTGTTAGATTCCCTGGTAGGCTCAATGCAAAATTATGAGCATTGCTATATGCACTGCTTTCTGCAGTGTACCCTGGTATTTTATGCTGCTTCTGATGTATGCCCTTCAGGTCTTCAGGCACCATTAAATGTTCATGGACTTTCATAAACTATAAAAATCACAGCAACTGTACATTAATTACTCTATTTTATATATCAGATTTACACTGATCTTTGTAAATAGGCAACAGGCAAAGCTTTCTTTACTGTACCATTTAAGAGAAATTATGGCAATAGGTGATTGTTTCTATTAGTGATTATTATAGAAGCAGAAATTTCTGAGAAGTGTAGCTGTTACACACAAGTGGTTTGAATTATAGCTGTAGGCTGAGTCTAAGTCAGAGCCTTTTTAGTGAAATTATTATCTGAATCTTCTCAATACCTGATGCTATTAATCTTCCCTTTCTTCAGAGTAATTCCTGAGCATACCTTCTCTTTCTAGGGTATCCACCATCTCCAATTCCTCAAGTTAGCCAGCTAACGTACGTGCTCCCAAATGGGTCTGTTATCTCAGCCCAGAGGCACTGCATGCACAAAAAGTGCACCTTTCATTCATTTTGCTCAAAACCAAATAATTCCTGAGGGCTGCTCTCAAATGGAAACCTTGCCACTGGATTCAGACACTCCCATCTGTTTTTCTTTACTAGACTTTATATAGCACTTTTCTCCAGAGCACTTCCACTCCTTTGCTTATGACAATTAATGAAACTGGGCCTGCACAGAGAGAGGGTATTTAATGTTACAGCATAAAGGTTCCTCAGCCCATGCTAGCCTGTTCAGCACAGCACATTTCTAGCACTCTCTCCAATTTACTTCTAAGTACTTTTATCCAAAGGTTTTCTATAATTAGGCCAAATACAATCAGTTCATAGAGCACCATTGTTTTTCCATGTTTCAAAGCAGTCATTCAGGACTGTTACATACTCTGAATTGATTGAGCGTGGGGATTACTTTATCTCCAGGGGAGATGATGATCAGCATTTCCCACCCAGTTCCTGAGCTGTCTTTACTAATTTATCTTAATAACATCTTAGTGGTTTGACTCAGAAGGAAAGAGATCAAAGCAGAGAACAAGGCAGGCATACTCTCAAGATTAAAATTGGCCAGAGGCAATCAGCAGATCAAGTAAACAGCTCTTCAGCATTCTGAAGAAGAGCCTGGTCTAACATGAGCATTTCTGTGCTCCTCCAAGCTCTCTCTCAGTTAGACCAGTTGGCCTGGGAGGTCACATCTGCTGTTGATGCTATTTCTTGTCATCATCCCATCCCTATTGCCCTTTTTCACCCTTGAACTTCATTAACCAGCAACATTACAGCAAACCTTGCAGTTCCCCTTTTCTCCTTAATAAGACAGAACAGAACTGCACTCCTTACAGGAACAGGGGCTGATCTTATAAGTACACCAGGCAGCTCCTGCCTTCAGTTTAACCCTGAGCCCTGGCATGCTGAGGAGAACTCACATGTCAGCCTGAGGTATAGTGCTCAGTCTCCTCAGCATAAGATTTGGGGCTTAAAGGGTCAGTGTATTTCAATGTTTCAACACTATCCCATTTCACTTTGGCAGGAATAGAGCAGTGAGCACACAGGAGGTGGGGGAGCCCATGTTTTATTTGATATTCGATATGTCTCACTTGGTACCTTGCCATTTCTGTTGGCCCTCTCTGTTCAAATCTTCTCATCCCTGAGGAATTAAATTTCTTCACTGTAATTGGCTCCATGTCACATCTTGAATAGAACAACCTCATCAGAAAGGAAAATGAGAGGGAGATTGCACTCCTTGTCTTTCTGCATGGGAGCCTAAAACATAACGCCTGCTTATTGGCTCTCTTTTATATTGAGAAGACAGACTTGATGCAAAGAACCACTTTGAAGTGTTCATTTTAGCTTCCATTGGAGCTTGATTTTTAAAGTGAACTTGTCTCCCAGTGAGCTCAGGAGCTACTTCAATCTAGTTTAAAAGTCATTTCTTTATTTTTTTTTAAATCAATGAGCATTAGGTCTATCCTGTGCTCCCATCTTGCTCAAAGCCAGAGGTGGACTGCAGCAGCTCAAATCTGATTGAGAATCAATGCATACAAATACAAGGCCATGTGCCTGGGAACAACAGAGACACGCTTGCTGTGGAACAGGGAGTCAGATCTTGCTAAGCAGCAGCTCTGAAAAAGACACAGGAGGTCACAGCAGAAGAGCACCCAGGTGTCAGTAACACCATGCTATAACAGAAGGAACACTGCTGCAACCTATGTAGTAGCACACAGAAGGGGTATGCCCGCCGTATTTGAGGGTGATGAGACTGTTGCTGACACACTTGAGCCCAGACCTTGGCTTAGAAGCACTGGAGATGTGGGCAAGGCAGTTGTAGCTCATTAGTGCTGTCAGTTTTGAAGGACCTCTCATCTTTCTTTTCTTCCCAAAGCTTTGCATACACTGTGGCAATCTTCCTCGCTAACAGTCAACTTGTGATGGAGCCCAGCACTAGGGGACAGAAAACTCCGGGCAGCTTTTAAAAAATGACACTGAGCAGGTGCAGATGTTCTTGTGCTAAAAGTTTGTCTGAAAGGCGGAGGCCAATTCAGCCAGTCCCTTCATACCTGCTGCTAAGAAAAGAAAAAAGAGGAAAGCCAGCACTAGCCCAAAAGAGGTGAGCAATCCTGTCTCTGCAGGACTCCCTGATGAGTGCTGCACTCCAGAGCTCTGCTGTGACACAAATCTGGGGAGTGAGACAAGCCAAGCTTAACCCAGGAAGCTTTAAATGAGAAATGAATCTTCCTCCTGGGTCACAACCTGACTGGATACCAGAACTCGAAGGGTTCTTCATGAAAAGCCTGTCACAGTACTGGAAGCCAGATGCCAGAGCACAGGTGATTATTTTTTCTTTTTTTTTTAAGCAGCTAAAAGGTCTGTCCGATTTATCACGATATTCAGGATTCTGCCACGCATGTCAAATCAAACAGCCACCGGGCTCTTTAGAGCTACTGCTAGGCTCAGTGGAGCCTCTACAGAACTAGATGATCAGCCTTAATTACAATTTTCCATGACAAAGTAGCTTTAATCTCCATGCAAGGCATGTGTCAGCCCTGTTTAATCAGGGAGGAAATTGGGCAGAGATGAAGTTAGTAATTAGCTCTTCTCTCTCCCCTTGACAGCCCCTCCCCAGGAGAGCGTTTACAGAATACAAAAAGCATCAGCAAGTTTCTCAAGTCCAGAGAGTAACACCAGATGGGTCAGCCACGCCACTGGCACAGAGAAATTGTTCCCTGCTTGTGGCCTTGATGTGGCTGATTTCACTCCTTTCTGTGGAAACACGAACTGTATCTCACGTCCACACTCAGGCTGGGTGCAGGCAAGCTCCCAGAGTCACAGGAGCCCGGCGCTTCCAGAACAGCGTGCTCTGGGGGTGATGGAGGGGCTGAGCATCTTCACATAGAAGATCTGCTTTGATCTTCTGGCATGTCCTAGACCTCTCGCAGGGACAGCAGAGCCCTTGTCTCCATCATGGCACCGTGCTGCTTTGGAAACCCAGGAAAGACTATCTCAGCATAGGGACTTCTCTCAGTTCCCTCTGTTGAGAGGGGACAGCCATTCTTTTGAATCCTGTGCCAACAGCGTGTCACTATCGCCAGTAGCACCCCAGATAGGTCAGCATCAACCTGCGTGTGGTCACTCCCACACAGAATCCCTCTGGACCCAGGAATAGTGACCCACACAAACCTGCCCTGCTGGCTCCTCTCCAGCTGCCCTGCTGTGTGGAGAACCACGATTTCATGGATGAAATCAAACAAGCGTCTTCCAGACTGCACACTGTCTTTCAGTTACATCACCAAAATTGAAAAATACCTCATAATAAGGTAGCTTTTATTTGTACATCTTTCATCATTCCAAAGAGCTGTATTAGTTTTGCTCTGTAGGTCCTGTACCATAAGGTTTCTTTCCTTGATGTTGGATTGTTTTTATGGCATTTCCCCAATATTTCAATAATTTATGTCACTAAACATGAACATCAACACTGAGTAACATTGTTCTCACCAGTGTCTATACAATGGGAAGGTCACTTCCCTACTAAAATGAAGTTGCGTATTTCTGTGACATAAAACTGAAACTGATGTTTCAGTCACTGTGGGTAGAACAATCTGAAGAATAACATCATCTTTCCAAGATCTGGTTGGGCTGTTAATTTTCTGAAACCTAGTTGCTCGTGAGATTTTCTTGGGAAATACTGTGCTTAATAGGTTTTCTTTCTAGTATGAAAAGTGGCCCTCCAAAAATCATGTAATCTTTTCACTTTTTTCCCCTATGGTATTACAGTAAATAAAAGAAGGAGAAATAGAAAAGTCAGTAAACGGGAGGAAAAATTATGAAAAATTATTCTAATCTGAAGAGCAACTAGAAGCAATTTACAGTGACAGCCTTTGGGTTTTGACTTTTTTTTTTTTTTTTTAAATGTTAATTATGTGCTTGCATGTTATAATGCCAAATAGTGATGTGATATGTTGGGTAGCTGTACTTGATAACACACATATCTTTGCAATACACGATAAACTAATTTACCTGCAAATTCCCCTTCATGTGCGTGTGTGTGTATATACCTTCTGCTTCAAGGTTATATTTTTCAATCAGTTTTGACTGTTGTCCACTTTTTGATGAAAAAAAAAATGGAAACAAACATCACTTCACTCTTCCCCCCCTTGACATTTTTAAGGAAAGCAGAATAGCTCTCCAAACCAGAGCCATTAACTTTAATGTAATACACTAAATACTAGATGGTTCAGCAGCTTCAGATAACAAAAATAATATTAAAAAAAAAAAAAAAAGCATTGTGCAAAAATAACACATATTTGCATAAAAATATCCCGGTCTGAAAGCTGTGCAGCTCCTACTTCCAACCTTTTTCACCCAAGCCTGTACTGGGGAGTACGCAGACCTCAGCACACGTGAGGCGGTAACAGGCTCCGAGCGGGGAGAAGTCAGTGGAGGTTGTCGCCTCACCTATCTTCCAGCCACCGTGTCTCTCGGTTTGCAGGCTGATGTCCCTTTTGCCACGTGTTAACAGTACTGAAAATGCGATATTCCCGTGTTTAACCCGGCGGCGGGACGGTGCAGTAGGTCGAGCCCTGCGCTGCAGCTGCCTCCTCCCCACCGCAAAAGAACGGGGAGAAGCTCTGGGAGACGTTCTCCCCCTCGGGCCCCCACGCTGTAGCACCAGCAGACATCAAGATGCGTGCGATGCATCTGAGGGAGGGAAAGAAAAGTATGAGGAAAACATGAGAGTTTCCCCAAGTTTGGAGAAGTTTTGACCCCGGCACAGCGCGGTTGACGCCCTCCCGGCCCGCCCCGCCGGAAGCCGGTTCGCCGGCTGCAGAGTCTGGGCGACCGTTATTACCTCAGGGGCCGGGGCGCCCCGCGCCCCCTCCCCCCGCCCCGCTGCCGCCCGCTCCCGCCGCGGGCACGGCGGCGCCACCTGCCGCCCGCCGCCCGCCGCCGCAGCCCCGCCGCCCCCCGCCGCCCTGCGGGGCCGCCCGAGGGGCGCGGGACGGGGTCGTCGCCCCCCGCCCGTTCCCCCCCTTTACCCGCCCGCCCCCCGCCTTTTCCCGGCCCGTCCCCTCCGTCCCCCGCCCGCCCGCCGCTCCTCACGGCTGCCCCCGGCGCTGTGCCGCGGCGGCCGGGCAGTGCGCGGGAGGGCGGCCTCAGGCCGGCCCCCCGGACACGCGTGGCAAGGAACGACAGAAGCACACAGGCCTTCCGCCGTCCCCAGGCAACGTCGGCGTAGGCTTCTCAGAATCAGTGATGCTCCCTGCAGTCAGCAACCCGCTAAAACAACAGCCGACGGTACGGTGTTAGCCACAGAACGGTGAAATAAACCTTCATCCAGGGATTTGTACATTTACAGGCAGGTCGGTGATAAAGGGAGGACCGGGGGAAATGTGGGCCCTCCCTGGAAGGAAAAGAGAGACTTGGTCACCTGGGATTTGGAGAAGACTGAGGTACTCAATGACTTTTTTGCCTCAGTCTTCACCACAAAGTCCTCCAGCCACACTCCCCAAAACACAGAAGTCAAAGACAGGGACTGGGAGAATAAAGAACTGCCCATTGCAGGAGAAGATCAGGTTTGAGAACCTGAAGGTGCACAAGTCGATGAGACCTGGTGAGATGCATCCATTGGTCCTGAGGGAACTGGAAGATGAAGTGGCAAAGCCACTAACCGTCATATTTAAGAAGTTGTGACAGTTCAGTGAAGTTTCCACTGACTGGAAAAGGGCAAATTTAACCCTAATTTTTTAAAAGGGAAAAAAGGAAGACCCAGGGAACTGCAGGCTAGTCAATCTCCCCTCTGAGCCTGGCAAGATCATGGAGCACATCCTCCTGGAAAGTGTGCTAAGGCACATGGAACACAAGGAGGTGATTGGTGACAGCCAACATGGCTTCACTGAGGGCGAATCATGCCTGACAAATCTGGTGGCCTTTTACAATGGGGTTACGGCGCTGGTGGATAAAGGAAGAGCAACTGACTTCATCTACCTAGGCTTGTGCAAAGCTTTTGATGCTGCCCTGCATGACATCCTTGTCTCTAAATTGGGGAGACGTGGATTTGAGGGATGGACCACTTGGTGGATAAGGAATTGGCTGGATGGTCACACTCAAACAGTTGCGGTCAACGGCTCGATGTCCAAGTGGAGAACTGTGACGAGTGGCGTTCCTCAGGGGTCAGTGTTGGGACCAGCGCTGTTTAACAACTTTGTTGGCAACATGGGCAGTGGGATTGAGTGCATCCTCAGCAAGTTTGCCAATGACACCAAGCTGTGTGGTGTGTTCAACACACTGGAGAGAAGAGATGCCATTCAGAGGGACCTTGACAGGCTTGAGAGGTAGGTCCATGCAAACCTCATGAAATTCAACAAGGCCAAGTGCAAGGTCATGCACATGGGTCAGAGCAATCCCAAGCACAGATACAGGCTGGGTGGTGAGTGGGTTGAAAGCAACCCTGTGAAGAAGGACTTGCGGGTATTAGTAGACAGAAAGCTTACTGTGAGCCACCAACGTGCACTCGCATCCCAGAAAGCCAACCGTATCCTGGGCTGCATCAAGAGAAGTGTGGCCAGCAGGTTGAGGGGGGGTGTTTCTCCCCCTCTGATCTCGTGAAACCCTACCTGGAGTACTGTGTTCAGCTATGGGGCCTCTAATATGAGAAAGACATGGACCTACTCGAGCAAGTCCAGAGGAGGGGCATGGAGATGATCAGGAGGCCTCAAGCACCTCTCCTCTGAGGACAGGCTGAGAGAGTTGGGGTTGTTCAGCCTGGAGAGGAGAAGGCTCCAGGAAGACCTTCTAGTGGCCTTCCAGTACTGAAAGGGGGCCTACAGGAAAGATGGGAAGACACCCTTTATGGTGTAAGTGTAGTGATAAGATGAGGGGTAATGGCTTTAAACTGAAAGAGGGTAGATTTAGGTCAGCTATAATGAAGGAGTTCTTTAGTGTGAGGGTGTTGAGGCTCTGGAACAGGTTGCCCATATGTCATGGTTTGAGCCCAGAGGGCAACTGAGCACCATGCAGCCTCTTACTCCCTCCTTCTCCCTCAGGACTGGGAAGGAGGAAATAAACCAAAAGGCTCAAGAATCAAAATAAAGACGGGGACAGATGACTCACCCATTACAGTCATTGGCAAAAGACAGACTCATTAGGGGAAGAAAAAGAACATCAATTTAATTCAGACACTAAGAACAACACTTAACAGAGTAGGACAGTGGGAAGTATTACAACACCTTAAAAACACCTTCCCCCCACTCCTTTCTTCCCTGGCTCAGCTTTGCTCCTGATTTCTCTACCTCCTCCTCAGGGAGGGTAAGGGAGAATGTGGAACTCCTGACATTCTTCCCCTGTTCCACTGTGGTATTCCTCTCACGGGAGACAATCCTCCACAAACTTTCTCCGAGGTGAGTCCTTCCCATGAGCTGCAGCTGTTCCTGTGGGTGTGGGTCACTCCCAGTGCTGATCTACAACAGCAGGAGCTTCTTCCCTCAGAGTCCCAGCCTTCTTCAGGTGCAATCACCTGCTCTGGCGTGGGCTTCTCCGCAGGCTGCAGGTTGGCGTCTGCTCCAGCATTGACCTCCATGCGTGGCAGGGGGGCGGCCTACCATCTCACCGTGGGCTGCAAGGGGGCGTTTGCACCGGCAGACCTTCCCCCCATTTCCTCCTTCTTTCTTCCACTGGCCTGGGTGTTCACATAGGTGTCCTCCTTGCAATTCTTCCTCACAACTCCAACTCCTCCTCCCAGGTTCCCTTTCTTAAATATGTTATTGCAGAGGCTCAGGCTTGGCCAGAGCTGTGTCTGACTTGGAGCCAGGGGACCTTTGAGAAGCTTCTCACAGGGGGCCACTGCTGTAGCCCCCTCCCTCACTGCCAAAAACCCTGCCACAGGCACAAACCCAGCATACCAGAGAAGCTGTGGGTGCCCCCCCCCCGGAAGGGTTCAAGGCCAGGCTGGACGGGGCTTTGAGCAACTTGGTCTAGTGGCCCATGGCAGAGGGGTGGGAGCTAAATGATCTTGAAGGTCCCTTCCAACCCAAACCATTCTGTCAGTCTATGATTCACAGTTTTACTTCAACAAATGCACCTTTAACACGGTAAGTTGCTTGTCCATACCTTCAAGCTATGGCTCACTCTTCTCTCTGTGTTTTTTTTTTTCTGCTCAGGTCCCAACGGTGGTGTGACACCTTTTGTCCACTTTCACCTCATCCAGTCTCCCCTCACTTTGCCAAAAAAAATAGCTGCTGCTCTTCACGTATCCTCAGTAGCACTAAACCTGCTCTAGACTAGCATTACACTACAAGCTCATAAACATTTACCTTAAAAAAAAAAAAAGAAAATGTACGTTTCTAAGAGGTTTATTAGTGTTTCATTGAAATCTTTGTTAATTTGCATCCCTGTGTAGGTCCTTGAACACATTAAGCAGGCAGCTCATTAAAATCCCTTGATCATTTATAAACATCTAGGAAACCCAGATCCGAGAAACATTTCTCTAACTAGTGGTCTAGCTATTAGCTTTCCCCACATCCCTTTGCTCTCCTGTCACGTTAGATTACACCAGAAACTCTTGCAACAGCATTTGTCTGTTACTGTACATTTGCCAGTGCCCATCTTGGAGCACGGAAGTGTAAATAATAAATCCCCAGTGAAGGTCTTGCCCAAGAGAGTAATGGAGCCCAAATGACAAGTTACTTGTTAAAGAACAAAAATAGGGTGTTTTTTTTTTTAACAAAAAAAGAAAGCACACACATCGGTTCCGATACCTGGTGAGTTATAACCCAGGAGATCTGTATGAAGGGTGCGATCTCTTCAGGGCTAACCTTTCTCAGACAGCTCTGGCAGGCCATACCCCTCAGGAGAGGCTTTGGCCAGGCTGTGGTTTGGGATCTTCTCCCTTCTCTTATTCCACGAGTCCTGTGAGATCTCTGCTTATTGCTGACAGGAAAGGGCTGCCTGAAGCACCAAAATATATTTGCATATATTTGTTTTCATTCCCTGTCTGGAGCAGATGATAATTTCACTGGATATTTTTCTTCTATATATGTGAGGACTAGAACTGTTTTTGGGAACTGAAAACATTTTTTGACATTTGGAAAACCAGCCCAGTATAACAGGGAAATCACCAAAACAAGTAGCATATGTTTTGTGTTGTCTATGCCACCTGCAAGATTGGCTATGCTATTCATTCAAGGAGACATAAAAATACATCAGAAGATAAACCTAAAGAATACAGTTACAGCCCAATATTTCATTTTCCTCCCAGCACTCACAACCCTTATATACAACTGGAGGTCCTGCTGTCTCCATGAAGAGACAATAACACCTCCAAACCTGCAGTGAACGGGGACAGCTCGTTCCTTCTGCTTGCAGAGCCCAAATTCATAGATGTGCAAACATGGTTACACAAGTTGTAAAACATACACCACCCTTCTAAACAAAGGTGCTTACAAAGAACATACCTTGACTCGCTGCAGGTGTCCTGGGTTTGAGTGGTGGGGTTTTTTGGTGGCAGGGGAGGGGGCTATAGGGGCAGCCCCCTGTGAGAAGTTTCTCGAAGTTCCCCCTGGCTCCACGTCAGCTCCACCTCTGCACAAAAACTGAGCCCATCAGCTGCGCCTCTGCGATAACGTATTTAAGAAGGGACGTGGTGAGGAGCAGTGGGACTGGTGAGGAGGAGTTGCTGCAGCTGCTTGAACACCAAGGTCAGTGGAGGAACAGAGGAAGAAAGGAGGGGGGAGGTGTGCCAGAGCAGAGACCCCCCTGTATCCTGTGGGGAGACAGCAGGGCGGCCCCCCCTGCCACCCATGGAGATCTACGGTGGAGCAGACACTGATTTATGGCCTGAGTTTTTTGCCTGGTTGATCAAGGTGCTGTGCCCGTAGAAGGCCAGGGTCTTCTGAGAAAAGGCAGCCCCACTGCTGTAATTCAGCGCTGGGAGGATTGCAGCATGCGGGGGAGTCCCACGCCGGAGCAGCTCGGGAAGGGCTGCAGCCGTGGGAGGGAATCCAGTCGGAGGAAGTTAGTGACCCATGACGGAGCAGTGTAAGGAAATGTTGCGGCCTGTGGGAGGGACTCACATTGGAGAAAGTTTGTGGAGGACTGTCTCCTGTGAGAGGGGAACCACAATGGAGCAGGGAGAACAAGTTCCAGAGGCTCCCTCCACTGAAGATGGAAGAAACAGCAACACTGACTGCACCCCCCATTCCCTGCCCCTGCGCCACTGGGGGAGGAGGTAGAGATATCGGGAGCAGAGCTGAGCCCGGGAAGAAGGGAGGGGTGGGGGGAAGGTGTTCTCAAGATGTGGCAATGCTTCTCACTGGCCTACTCTGTTAAGTGCTGTTATAGTGTCTGTAATAAATGTATGTTCTTTTTTCCTTCCCCTAA